CTGACAAACGTGATGCGCAATCGTAATGGCTTCCCTCTAAAGATATTAACTAGCATTGTCGCTAGGTGTGATTCATAACAGCACAACCCAGAGTGCTCTTTTTAACCTTTTCGCTATTGGGATTGGTTTACATTGTGCAACACTGAGGGTGGCAGACATATCACTTCCAAACATCGCTGGAATGAAGTCAGCCCATTTGTACACATCCACAGGCCCCCAGGAAAGGCACTGGGCCATGTGTATACTTGTCTTCAGTAGTTAAAGGGTTAATGAGGGAATTGTGTGTATGGCATTGCCTGGATCTCCCCTAAGCGCTATTTTCTCCATAACAATTTTTCTATTTTCATTTTATTTCAGGGGATCGCAGGCCACAAAAAATTACTTTGGGGGCCACATGTGGCCTGCAGGCCACCAGTTTGACACCCCTGGTGTTACCTAAACCAAGGTGTTAAGTAAATTTGAGGCCAGAATAACCAGAGGTGTCTGGGAAAGCTTTCTCCAGTGGGACTGTGAATTATGAAGTGTGTTTGGTCATTTATTTGCCTCAGTGACTTTTTTTATCATTTGCTTCTTTGCCTTGCTTACTATTGGTCTCAGGTAACTTTGTATATATTTATCCTGATTATAGGGAACCCTGGTAGCTTAGTGGTTTAACTAAATGAGAGTGTAGCACTTCCAATCACCAGTTACTCCACTGGAGATAGATGTGCTAATTTGCTTCCATAACAGTGAATCCAGGACAGATAAACCCCTCAGGGCAAATAATTAGAGATACCAGGAGGGGAAGGAGAAGGTGGGGGGAAAACGGGGGAACCGATCACAATGATCTACATCCCTAGGGGGATGGATAACAGAAAAGTAGGCAAAGGTAGACAGCAATTGGTGTAAGACATGGAGGGAAGATGATAAATTACCAAGGGTTCATGAGGGAGAGAGGGTGGGGGATGGGGGAAAATGAGCTGATATCAAGGACTCAAGTAGAAAGAGAATGTGTGCTTGACACAATGGATGGATGTATGGATTGATAATAGCTGTAAGAGCCTCCAATAAAATGATTTTTTAAAATTAAAGCAAAAGGTTAAGTTTTAGAAACTCTATGGGGCTGTTCTACCCAATCGTTAGCCTCATTAATGAGACAGAATTGATTTGATGACAGCAGGTTTGGTTTATCTTGTCAGCTGTGAAATGCTACCTTTATCTTTGAATTGCACAGTTCCCTTGAAGAGAATAACATCAAGAAACCATCTTGCTTACTTTTTGTTGTCTTTGTTATTCTTTTTTTTTTGTTGTTTCTTAGCATATTTTTTAAATCATTTTATTAGGGGCTCATATAACTCATCACAATCCATACATACATCAATTGTGTAAAGCGCATTTGTACATTCATTTGTACATTTCAGGGGATCGTGGGCCACAAAAAATTACTTTGGGGGCCCTCATCAGTCTCAAAACATTTCCTCTCCATTTAGGCCCCCGGCATTAGGTCCTCATTTATCCCCTCCCTCCCCGCTCTCCCCTCCCTCATGAGCCCTTGACAGTTTATAAATTGGTATTTTGTCATATCTTGCCCTGTTCGACGTCTCCGCTCACCCACTTTTCTGTTGTCCGTCCCCCAGGGAGGAGGTCACATACAGTTCCTTGTAATTGGTTCCCTCTTTCCAACTGTCTTTGTTATTCTTAACTTGAATTCATATTGCTGACATTGTTTACTTTTTGAAATTAGATTTCAGGGACGATTGTTGATAAAAGTGGGAGAACTCTTTCTGGACAGACAGGCGAGGCATTTGTCATCAGTGTGTCTCATGCAGACCCGCTTTGGTGAGTGTCATTCTCTCCGTAACTCAGGTTCTTCTGGGTGATCTTTGCAGATGCTTGTAAAATGTGACAGGAGTCGCTAGGTGGTGCACAAGTTAAGTGTTCCACTATTAAACAGGAAATTGGTGCTTTGAACCCAATCAGAGATGTCTCAGAAGACAACCCTGGTAATTTTACAAGAGGTTATTGCCTTGAAAACTGGTTCTCCTCTGCATACATGGGGTCACGTGAGTCACAATCAACCAGATGACAGTTAACAACTAACAATATAAAATGTAATGTGGCTATAATTGATTGTTTTTCATTTGCAACAGAAGAGATTGCTACTACATATTTGCAATGTACCATTTCCACAGTATTAGGGCTTTCTTTCCCCTAAGGGCTGCCGAAGACAACTGCCTAAGTGGATCCTTTTCGTATGTTGTTTTACTGTCTTTTTAGTGAAGACTTAGACAGCAGTTTAGTTTCCATTAAGCAATGTCTACACAAGTTTAGTGACATTGGTTATAGTCTTCAGGAGTGAACATTCTCATTTCCTTATTTTTGTTTTCAGTGGGTCATTTTGAGGGACTTCAGGGAGTACTCTCATACTAGCCAAACATTGCCTTTGTTTCTATAAATGGTGTCCTTTGGACAATTCTTACGTGGTAAAATTTTAAGCTATTACCAGTCATTTAAAGGGCAACCAGAAGCAGTGTTCCTAGGTATATATTCATAATTCTAAAACTCTGGTCTTTTTATCTAAAAAGTTAGAATCCCCCCCACCCCCCGTCATTTTACTCTAATATATTTCTATGTTTTAATTCATTTTTCAATATACAAATTTCTTAATTACATATGTGACTAAAATGAAAGCTCCAAAAATATACACTGTGTTCTTCCTATACCTTTTCACTTGGCTATTATTTAAGACACATATTAAGTACCCACTGAACCATCTGTCTCAGTACTTAGGTTAATGTTCTGTCTCAAAGAACCTGGTTTTCTTCTTTTATAACATTGGCCATAAAAATAGTAATCAAAAAAACCAAACTCACTGCCATCAAGTCAATGTCTGCTCATAGCAATGCAATAGGAGAGGGTAGAACTACTCCAGTGAGTTCCTTTTTTTGCGAGAGTAGAAAGCCCCATGTTTCTCCCATGGAGCTGATGGTGGTTTTGAATTACTGACCTTATGGTTAGTAGCCGAATGTGTAACCACTATGCCACTGAAAAAAAAGAAAAAACCCTCAAACCCAATCACTGGTGCCAATTCACCACAACTCTCTAAAGACCCGGTAGAACTGCTTCTGTGGGTTTCTGAGACTCTTAACTCCTTACAGGACTAGAAATCCCTATCTTTCTTCAGAGGAGTGGCTGACCACTATACTACCAGAGCTCCTAAGGAGTGCTACCAGGACTCCTTAAAATAATAATTGTGACCACTTATAGGGCATTTTTTGTATGTTAGATCTAAGTCCTTTAAATGAACTCTTCTTTTAATTCTACCAACACCACCTGGCAGTTAGTACTAAAATGAGTGGCATCCTCATTTTAATGTTAGAAAACAGACTCAAAGTTTATTTGACTTGCCCAAAGTCAAGTGGCTCTGGGGAAACAAGCTTACTCTTAACCACTGTGTTTTACCACATTGGCCTTTATTTTCCTCATGGTACAGGTGAGGAATTGAAGTTACCTGATTTTTAAGAAGACAAGATCGGAACTAAGTCTGGTGAATAAAATATTTGCTAAAGCAAATAGAGCATATCAATAGCCCTGCATAAGACCAAGCATTCTTAACTGAGGTTAAGAATTGTCAGAGTCCAGAGAGATCACAGAATGTTGCTTGTGTTTTAAATAATGTTTTTATTTTGCAATCATTTCAGATTTCCAGAAAAGTAACAAAGATAGTACAGAGAGTTGCTGTATATTTTTCATTGGGCTTTTCCCTAATGGTAACATCCTTTGTTAGGCATTTATCAAAAATAGTAAAATCTGAATAAAGTTTAGAGTTTTGGATACACTGTTGGTTTGATAAAAGTTCTTTTTCTTTTTCAGGATCCAATCTAGGATACAACATTATACTTAGAAATAAAAATAAAAGAAGAAAAGTCAAAAGTGAAAAAGTCAAAGATTATGTAGTTCAGTAGTTTCTGGGATCCTCCACTGTAGTTATGTTGGAGGGTTTTCACATTAACTTCAGTTAGAACAACTGAACCTATAAGAGGATAAGTTCTTTGCCCAGGGTTATTCAGCATGAAAGTTATAGACAGTCCTGATCTCCTGGACTCCTAGGGTAAATTCCTTTTATCTATTTAGGTTTCTACTATTTGGAAGATTTTCCTTTTCCATCTTTAAGTTTTGCCTTCAGACCAGATATTTACTTAGAAGTGGTAGTTTCCTGGATTATTATTTCATAATGTGAAATTAACTAAACAGATCTTACTTAAAGGACTCACATCCACAGGTAAAATCTTTTAGCCATAACATTGTCAGTTGTAGAAGACAGGAGACCTTTGGCTCTAATTGTACTACCAAGGTACTTTGCAGCAGTGTAGGATGTCTCAGGAGATTTATTATAGCCAGAGTTTTAAATATAGCCCCCATTTTACCACACCTTTTAATATAGGTAAATATGTTTGACAAAATGTGATACTTCTGATATCTTCTTTTTTCTCCTCCCTCAGTATTGGATTAAATTGTGCTCTAGGTGCAGCTGAAATGAGACCTTTTATTGAAACAATTGGAAAATGTGTAACAGCCTTTGTGCTCTGTTATCCCAATGCAGGTATGTGTTGCAGAGGGGCATATACAAATGCACAGATAAAGGAAAGACATGGTAACAGGTATTGATTGAAAGTTTATTTGTAAGTCTTGGCATGTAGATGATGCTAAGTAGACATTTTAAAAATGAAGGATGTTTAGGTCTAGATACCCTTTCCCTCTAGATTAAAGGAATAATTGAACCTAGCATGAAAATTTCAGAACTGGACATAGCTTCAAGGAGTGACATTTAGTTAGTCATACCTGACTAGGCATATGCCTTTGGTGACAGTGGGTGTAGCCATGAAGATGAATATAAAGAAGGCCCTTTTAATCTTTCCACTGTATTGGCACAAGAACAGGAGGGGCTTATATGCGTTTACCTTTTCTCCTTTTGAAAGCTAGAATTTTGAATTTACTGTGTGTAGAAATTCCCAAGATATTTGTAGACAAGTCTCAAACCATGCAGTAACATATTGGCTGAACTTTATCTCCTGGTGAATGTCTTTGAGCATTGTTTAGCTACTTCAGGCTAAAATATAACTTTCTTGCCATCTTTCTCCAAATACATGTATTTTAATGCACAATAAATTTTCCTTCCCACCAGGAGTAAGAAAGAGGATAATAAATGAAACAGGAAATTGAATAGTTATACTCCAGAATGTTTATTTTAAAAGAGATCCGTGTTTTGTTTGCATGTTTTTAATAGCATATCAGGTATATTCATTAGAGCACATGAAGTAACCTTCCTGTTCCCAAGCAACTAGGTGACAGCAGAAGCTTTCCTTTATGGAAAGGTGTGGATTAGGGGATTTTCCCATTTATTAGTGACTCTTTTCTTTGAAAATATTTTTATTTGCATAGTATTGTAGGGGAAACCAGCCCCTCAGAACTACATCACAGGTCCGATAGGCACAATTATATGATTATGATATATAAAGATTATAATAAAGTTATAAAGATAAGAGAGATAGAAAAGAAGGTAAAATAAAGGAGTCACATACATTTCATGGTAGCATGCTCACCTCCTGAATGGCCGTGATCTTACCAGCCATGTCTGTGCACAGCGCGGGCAGAGAGGGCAGGGGAGAGAGAACGATTTATTTCTAACCAAGGCTTATATATCTTTTGGGGGCATGCAAGCCCCCTAATTACAGATAAAGACATACGTCACAGGAAGGGGCTGTACTACAGGTAATAAAGTAATGGTGGGACTGAAGATCAAAGGGTATACACTCAATAGGAAAGGAAGGGATAAGGGGCTAAGTATGTGACAAGATGGGAAGATCCTAGATTCAGGAAGGCAGCCTAGCTTTGGATGTCACCAAGCAAGTTTGACCTGTTTTAAGCTCTCCGGGAAACAATTACTCTCCTATCAGTAGGTGAGAGTGAGGCCCACTTCCAGTGGACCAGACAATAGTCTGCCTGCTCTGGATGGCTGAATACCTTCAGGGAGATAACTTGACAATCATTTACCATTAGTTGCAAGCAGTGTCCTAGTTCTGACATAGATTTGGGGGAGACGAGCTGGGAAACAGCCTTTTTTATATCCCACATAGTATGATAAAAAAAATTCATTTGTAGCATGGATTCACTATATACACATTAAGAATTTATTTAATTTTTGAAAGTAAATCAATGTAATAAATTAACATGTTAATAGACACATTAAAAAATTATTTTAACCTAAAGCCTTTGCAAATATGAAGTTTGTTTGTTAAGGTAGTTTCCCTTAGTGGTTGAAATTTACATTGTTAGGTCTTCCCAATACCTTTGGCGAGTATGATGAAGCTCCTGACATGATGGCCATGCACCTAAAGGTAGGGATGCTTTTTTCAGTTGAATTATCAAGAGATAGAGAAAATGGAATTATAGATTGGGAATACATAGACTTAGGAATTCCCCCAAAGAAAAGTTTAGTTTTTCTGAATTAACCTGGTGAAAGTGGGGGGATGGGGCTCGCTATCATTAGCCGTATCCCTTATTCGTATCAGTGAAAGATGGAAAATCCCTAATGGGGTCCAATCCAAACTGAGTGAAGCTATCTTGGCTTTGAGTCCCCAGTGGTGCAGTTTTCCCCACACTGCTGGAGGTGGGATAGATGTCCTGTATACTCCTCATCTCTGTCTCCACCATTTTTTCCAGCCCATCAAACCTCCCATCTTTGCATCCTAATTTATTAGACTATACTGGTTTTCAGTATCTTGTGCAGGTGATTTTTCCAATACCTGATTTCTAAGTTCCATGACTTTCCCTCTCAGTTACCTTGTTCTTTAGCTTATGGTGACTCTCTGGCCTGGAACCCCAACATAGTAATTCTTGGTTACTCTTGAACATTTAAAATTTGGTTAGTATGCTGAAGAGTGAAAATTTTCATTTTTTGAAATTTTAATTTATTTTAAAACATTTATTTGAATTTTTATGTCAAATTACATTATCTAGATCATATTTATTCATCTCAGCATGCAGGCAAAAACTTTAATATGATCAAATAGACAATACTATACATTCAAGTTGTGGTATATGAACTATTTGCTGCTTTTAAGTTTAGATTTAGGGCATGTCAGAACTTTATATACAGGCTTCATTGTGTTTGGCTCTTTCCTTCAATGTCACGTTAGTTATTCAGAATCAGCAGCTCTTTTTCTATCTGGATTTGTAGTGTTAAGAATTCAGATGAACTCAATGAAACTTTTTCTGAATGCAGAACTTTGCTGTGGATGGCTTGGTCAATATAGTTGGTGGCTGCTGTGGTACAACACCAAATCATATCAGGTAATAATCACCTCTGTAAGGATTTTAACTTTATTATGAAAAATTCTATAGACAAAAGTAGAATAAAACTTAACTCCCTGTGCAGATCACATCGTTTTCATATTTTTTAGAAGTTCTCTTTTACCTCTCTTCCAACTTTTTCTACTCCTGGAATATTTTCAAATAAATCATCATGCACTCAGCTGCTAACTGCAGGATTGGCAGTTAGAACTCATCAGCCACTTTACAGAAGAAATGTGTGGCTGTCTGCTTCTGTAAAAGTTTACAGCTTTGGAAACCCAATGGGCCTGTTATGTATACTCTGTCATAGGGTTGCCATGAATCAGAATGGACTCAGAGCAATGGTTTTGGGTTTGGGAGCGATATCACAATAGTGTATCCTTAAATGAATATGTATGTAATATTTTAATGCTCAAGGAAGGAAAGCTCATGTTTCTTGTGGGGTGAAAGACATCTTTTTCATTAGGTTCTTAGGGAAGGAAAAACAACTCTGTAAGTGAATTTATTTGCCCAGCACAATCATAGCTTTAATAAATGAGCTTGGGTGAGTGTTTGAAGGAAGCATTAAATATGAATGTGTTTTTGTGTGTGTTTAATTCTCTTTGATTTTGAGCCTTACATGAAGCATTGTAATTCAGTGGACTTGTTTGTATTTTAGGATTATTTGTATTGTTGTGTGTCATGGTCATATTTGGGCTAGATGGGTTATTGCTTTGATTTCATGTGTAATAAAAATGACAGTAGTGAAATGTGGAATATTTTACTGCTTGTATTTCTGAAATAGAATCTTGAAAATATTTTTAAATGATTTTTTTTTTTAATTGGTAAGCTGTCTCAACTTGAATATAGCTTATATTTGACTCACTGACCTCTTTGTTTTTAAGGTCCTTTTAGAAAAGAGAAATTGCCACCTTACGGAAGCAAAAAGAGGCTATCAGATTCTGTAAAGATTTACAGCATTAGACCCTATAGAGTCACTATGAGGTGAAATGGATTTGGTAGCACCGGTTATACATTAAATATGTATGTGTGTTTATGCTTGTATGTATATATATATATATATATATATATATATATATATATATATATTGGCATATGTATACACACACATACAGATATTTATACACACACACACAGTTTTTACTTTTTATAGCCACATTCTAATTTACTAATATGGAGGCACTTGACTGAGCAGTTCTTACTGGCCCTGATAAATTTTGTAGAGTAGCTAGGTTTTTCTGATTGATTAAAGAAGATGAAATTAAAGGTAGTATGTAAAACACTTTTTTAGAAATAATTATTTTGAAATGTTGCTACCAGTATTTATTGCTATGCCTTAAAAAATAAAAAAGCCTTAAGGAATTAATTCCCTCTACGGTTGGTACCTCCTATCCTCATTTCTTTTGTTCAAAGGTGAAACCCTTTTTAAAAAATGCTGTCTTACACAATTGAGTAGGAAGCAAATAGTGTGAATTTGACAGGGTAAAGGGCATCTATGGATTTGAAAAAAGCAGAAAGGAAGTTTGCTGTTTGCATTTGTGTAAACCATTGCTTGTCTCTTCAATTGATATCTAAAATACAAAAAGTAGTAATATTCACAGTAGTCTGGGAAGACTTATAAAAAGTAAAATGTACAGATTAATTTTCTGCATAAATGAGAAAATGAAGGCATAGTTACTTCACATTTAGAACTAAGTATATAATTATGTTTGTAATTATGTTAAGCAGGTAATTTGATAGCTAGAAATTAATTTAAATTTACCTTCTGTGGTAATACATACAGTATTTCTCTTTCACCTCAGGGAAATTGCTAAAGCTGTGAAAAATTGTAAGCCCAGGGTTCCACCTGCAACTCTTTTTGAAAGGCATACACTCCTGTCTGGTAAGACATAAAGACATGGTTTTTATGATTTCAGAAATGATTTTAAGAATGTATTTAGGATGCTTATTAAAAGTAGTAGTGATTTTGTGTCAAGCAACTCGTTTAGTCTGTCAAAGAAGAATGTCTTCCCTGCTCCCCCTTTATCACCTAAATGAATTCTAAAAGAGAATTTTTGGCTTTTCTTGGGGTGGGAAGGGAATGAAATATACAGATTTGGGCAGAGAAGTAGAACTTACATGGACGTGTCCCTATTTAGTATGTCCTGCTTTGAATACACTGGCCACAGTCTAATTGTTAATTGTCACTTTGGATACTGTCATTGAGAATCTCAGAATGCCAAGGTCTGATGTTTTGGAATGGCACAAGTTTCTTCCCAGAACACGGTGTTTGCTTCCAGAATAGGCTTGTGATCTTATATTTGTCTAGAGCTTTATAAAGAGTTGTAAATTTATTTTTCTGTTTGGTTCTCAGTAACCCTGTGTGGTAAGCTGCCATGCTTTTCCAGTATTTATTTTGCTGAATATTTCATCATATGCTGCTAGAAAAATAACTTTACATAATTTTGCTTCAACATTTTAATGCAATATTCTTAGATCACGTCATTAAGCAACGTGTGTGTGTGTGTGTGTGTGTGTGTGTGTGTGTGTATAAACGGGTGTGTGTTCCCTAATAACTTAGAATTTACCATCTCTCTAAGTTAAAGAATTTTGATATCTACTGGTCTCTTAAGAAAAGTGACATAAAATACAAGTAATGGCAAAAGTAACAAAAGCTGCTTTCTCAGAACATATTTTGTAGAAACAGTCGCAATGAATTTGTATGAAGTTTTGTTAGGAAGCAGACAGACCTCTGCTGTAGTGTGATACTTTAGGTAGCATTCTTTGACTTCAGTTGTAGTTTGTCCACACTTACTACTTGATATTAACCCCAGATTAGCTTGTGACAGGGGAGGTGCTACTGCCTTTTTCCAAAAAACAGAAACGGGTGCATTAAAGCGCAAGTGACTTGTCTAGATAGATAGAGTAAGCTCACTAGTGGCATAACTGGCACAGTAACTCCTGTCTCCCAGGTCCCAGCCTATGTCCTTTCTCATGACCCTCTTCAGCTTTACACATGTGCCCAGCTGGTATGAGTTCTTGTACTTTCAGTCAAAGAGATGAAGTAAAGTTTCAAACATTTTTTGTAGAAATAAGCAAGTTTGCCCCATTTCATTTTAAGCAGTACATGAGGGTAGAGCTATGGAATGTCATGTATATGGAGCTTCATGTATTTGCCCCAGACTCTGTTAATAGAGATATAACTTTTTCATGTATCTCAGAGATAGTAGGATTCAGTTTTTTAGAAAAACTTGCAAGGTAAAACCCTTCTGCTTATCCTTCTGCTTATACATGTAACTACAGCATATAGCCTCTTTTGACCATTGAATGAATATCCATAGTGGGATCATTTGTATTCAGTGGGCTTAAGTACAGCGACTTATTTATTTCTCATAAAACATTCTCTGTCTGTTTAATGTCTTCTCTATATGCATTTTTAGAAAATTTTAAAAATGCCTTTTCTTTTAAGGTCTAGAGCCCTTCAAGATTGGACCATACACCAACTTTGTTAACATCGGAGAGCGTTGTAATGTTGCAGGATCAAGGAAGTTTGCTAAGCTCATCATGGCAGGAAACTATGAAGTGAGCATCTTATTAAGACCTCTGAGGCATCAGTTGTGATTTTGTCGGCAGAGCATGGAAATGAACCAGCACTGCCTTTGATAGTGTTGTCAGTAGAGCTGCTGGGGAGTGGGAGACCAGTAAAGTGCCTTCACAGCAAGCTGGATTGGTGGGAGGATGAGATGGAGGAAGAAAAATTGAAGCTGATAATGGTTACCGTTTCTTAAAAAGGATTTCTTTGGTATATGAAATGGCATGAGATGGGAATATTGAGGCACTAGCTGTATATATTAATTGTAAGAAGAGCTTACGTTTTTGAGAATATCCTTCATTTTGCCTTTGTACAAATCCTTTTAAGGAAAAGGAAAGCCAAGAAAATTGTCATTCAGTCCTCATAACCACATTAAATGCCAGCTGTTGATGTTATTGAACCTTTTAGTTGTAGAGTAAAATAAGCCAATGAAAGCAAGAGGCCCATACATTGGAAAGGCCACTGTAGTCATACCGATTCTCTGCCTTCTCATTTGAATTGGGTGAAGGTTTACTAAGTAAATGGGTTTTCCATTCAGCAACTCATACTTATTTCATTTTAAGCCATGGATTGAAATTCCCATGTACCATCACTCGTCCCACCTTGATCCTATGTCTCCGGGTTCCATTCCTTCTCCTTTCACTTCCTGCCTTCTGAACTTTGTCCTTGGGCAGAAGCTGCACTTTTGATCTGGAGCAGTTGATTGTTCTTTTTATTTTTTGAGATGTACAATTTTTTTTATATTTCTTTTTTTTTTTCAATCATTTTTTTGGGGACTCACAGAATTCCCATCACAATCCATACATATATCCATTGTGTCAAGCACACGTGTACATTTGTTGCCATCATCATTCTCAAAACATTTGCCTTTCTACTTGAGCCCT